TTCATGTCGAAGAATCGGCCAATGTATATAATCTCATAGATATTAGGAAAAAAAAAACTTAAATCTCATATAACTCAATAAGCAGTAATATTTCTTTATATTATCTTATTCAAGAATCCCTACGTACACCTCATTCTTCTGTTCTAAAAATATGAAAGAAGCTCATGTGAAGTAATATGGCTTTCATAATGTTACTTCATATTTCTTCCTTGCTAATCAATTAAAATAGAAGTGTAGTTAAAATTCTCCTTTGCCTTCGCAATCTACCCCATGCTCTAATTGATTGCATGCCCTTGCATTCTCACCATTGCGGTTGCTGCTGCTGCACCTTGACCTCGTCGTGGACATCCATGCTCCGGTTGCCGTCACAGCTACTGGCCTTGCTGCCTCCGACCATCTTCGCCACCTTCCCTTTGAGGTATGAAATGTAATATCTAAAGGCTTTTTAATCTTAAGTAGAGTAATTAGGAAAAACCGGAAATAAATTGGCTTTTTAACCATTATCATTTGATTTACATCTTTTGATTAGTATTGCTTGATCATCATCACCCCATTGTTGTCCTTCTATCTGCATTGTCTATTGGTCATTGTCTGATTGTCATCACCTTATTGCAATCGTCTTACTGCGACCATCACCATCCACTACTTTTAGTTTGCACAATGTATACTATAGTCATCTGAGATTAAACAAATGCTCCAAATTGAATAATCATGTTTCCTTCAATTGTGAGGAAGAGCATGTAACCTCACGTACGTGATGGATTATCTCAACTAGCTCAAACCCTATGATATTATTCATTTCCACATTTTTCATGCAAAAACATTGATATCTTACGTTATTTTCCTATTTTATCTGTGTGAGTATAAGATCTTCGTACAAGTTCATGGCTTAAAACTTTGAACAAAAATTATATGGTTTATATGATAACCCAAACCAGAACAAAAACAGGCCCAACGACAACCATAAACAAAACTAAATAATAGAAGCATTAGAATGAGCATTAGATCAAAGCTACAAAACCTTAGAGAGACAATCATTAGAACCCCCCCCCCCCCCCCCCCCCCCCCCCCCCCACCCCCAACCCGTTATCACTTATCACCCGATTGTAAACAGATCCAATCAGAATGGTCAACCAGATCAACATAATGCAAATCCTAATGTAGCTTCCCACCACCTGAATTAATAATTGCATCATCAGAGATAGGGAAAATTTGTAAGTTAATTATAGGTACCTTATTAGAGATATCCAAACCATCAAGAATAATAATAGGAGCATCCACAGGGGCTAGGGATGCAAACGAGTCGAGTCGAGTCGAGCTCGAGCCAGGGGTTGTTCGAGTCGAGTTCGACTGTCAGATACCAAGAGCTCAAGTTCGAACTCGAGTCGAGCTCAAAATTCGAGCTCGAGCTCGACTCGTTTCGTTGTCGACCAGCTCGTCGAGCTCAAACTGTCGTCGCGCACTCGCGTCCGCTGCCGTGCAGACGTCCGTCGTCGTTGCATCCCGTTGTAAAGCATCGTCGTCGCGTTCGCTGTCAAGGTCGCGTCCAACGACAACATCGTATGTCGTCACGTCGTCACGCTCGCTTTCGGGTTCGTCGTCGTTATGTTGTCACGTCGTCGCGTTCGGGTTTGTCATCGTCCGTCATCACATTCGCTTCTATCTCCACCATCCGCGTCTGCTTGTGCCGCCAAGATCTGGCGTCTGCTGCCTTCAATGCCGTCGAGATCCATCGTTCGAGCATAACTGCTGTTGAGAACCATCGTCACGAGGATCTGAGCTCATCCGTCGTAGACTCGTAGTCCCAAACGTAACTGCGTCCGCTGTCTTCGTTTAGGATTTCCAATTTCCCGCTCGCGAGCTCCCTCTATTTGGATTTCTCGCTGGCAAGCTGTCATTTGGATTTCCCGCTCGCGATTTCGATTTTCCGCCCCCGCTAGTTCCGTCATCGAGCTGCTCGACGAGCTCTCGAGTCAATCAATCGGTTGTTCGAGCTCGAGCTTGATAAGCTATCAAGCTCGAAATTGTGTTCGAGTTCGACTCGCGAGCTCGATAACCTCGGCTCGTCGAGCCTATTATAGAGTCGAGCTCAAGCCAGCTCGCAAGTTGGCTTGACTCGGTTACACCCCTAAGAGGGGCAGGAAGAATAAATGTTTGATTCTCCTGAACATGAGAAAGAAGACCCTCACTAATAGAGAGTACATTCACCATGCTATCGCCAATCCTGTGATCCACAGATTCAATAATAGGGGAAAAAGTTAATTGATTATCCAAACTATTAGTAATAGGAAAAAAGATAAGGCTAACAGCCATAGCATTATTATTACCCTTAATAACCAAAACATCGGAAGCATTAGTTAATTAGTTGATTTAAATTAATAATTAATTAAAATAAATATTAGTTAATTAGTTATTTTAAATAAGCTAATATTATTAGTTTATTCAAATTAGTTAATTAGTTCTTTTTTAATTATAAACGATTATTTCCCAGAAATGTTTAAATCATTGAAAAACTGTCAAGAAATATTTCATCGAAAATCCGTCAGAAATCCGTCAAAAGTCAGTTAGAAAATTCAACGAAATTTTCGTCGCAAAATTTCTGCCAAAAATTCCATGGTTAATTAACATTTTTATGTAATGTATTTTACTCAAATTCCATTTATTTATTTCCCCATCCTTCACCTGATAAACTAAAACTCATCTTCCTTCCTTGCCCTTAATGAAATTTCATCACAAGAAAATGTAAGTCACCAAATGGTCCTCCATGACGAAGAGAGTGTTTTGGTATCTCACAACATACAACATCTAGGATGTGTTGCCTCCTTCTTTGGAACAATTATTACGTCCTCCGACCGGATGTAGAGAAGCATCCGGTCGTAGGAAAAAAAAACTCGGTACCGAGGTGTACCGAGTTTTTTGAAAAACTCGGTACACCTCGGTACCGCATTTTTTTTT